TCCCATGGACGTAAAGGAAAACATACTATTGTAAGATCTGATGTTTTCGAGGAAATGCCTACTATGCTCATCAGTACCATCTATCAATCCAGCCAACAACAACGGCGGTTCTTTCATAGCAGGCAACACAACCTTGTGTTGGCTACAACAAAGGGAGAATTTAGGAAGATTCTTCTTTGAGTTTGAAAGAACACGCTCCTCGAACCAAAACAAAGCGTTACAGAACTCACATGAGTAGATTGAGTCACCGATGTCCCAATACTCTGCACAAAAATAACAATAAAAAATACAATGTTAAATAAATCACAAAACCACACATGCAAATTCGATGGTTGACACTATAAGCGCACCAATCTGTCTGTCGGCTATTTGGTCAGGAAGTCCATCATAGTCAACATACTCATCATCCGCATCACTATCAGTGAAAGACGATACATCAAAATCCAAAACAGGTGATAGAGGCAATGGGTGTGAACTTGAAGCATGAAGATCTTCGACTGATGTTTGTGGACCAACAAAGCCTAACCACGAAAGTCACAGGAACTCAACTTTTTTGCGTTATCAACGAAAACCCAAACAGAAGTGATGCCAGATTGGATACAAAATTAATAACGGTTCATGAGAGACAAACCGTCATGGATATAGGCAGAAGTTGAGCTTAGCAGCGGCCCTGATTTTAGGGAAGAAAGAGCAACTTCGGGTGCTGAACACAAAGGCGACTGGTGTGAACTCGAAGCACAAATATCTTCCACGGACGTTTGAGGAAAAAAAAAGCCTAACAATGAAAGTCAAATGAACTTAATACGAAACGGTATCGATGAAATCCCAAACACAATATGATGCGAAACTGGATACAAATTAAAAAATAGCTGATGAGAGACCAACCAACATCAAGAGATGCAGAAGTTAATCTTAGGAGCGGCCCTGAATTCGGGGAAGGAATAGCAACGTGGGAGGTTCCAGACATGGAACGATAACAGTGTTGTTTGGTCGGGGACATAACAACCTCACTGTCCAAAGTGCCTATACCATTAATCGGAAATTATTATTTTTACATACGTATCAAAAGAACATAGATTACTTATGTGCATCCAAAAAACTAATTTAAAAAAATCCATAAATACTACATAGTTGTTTTGAATATAACAAAAAGAATAATATCTTCCATCAAAAGAAGAAAAAGTGTAGGGTACTCTTCAAAGGGAAAATTATAAGAAATATTAAAAAAAAACACTACCTCTTCAATTTTTCAATTGAAACATTGGACTATTCATACTATTTACATATTCTACTTTAACTTTATTTTACCGATAAATGTAATATGAATCCAAATAGCCGAATATTGCGGTTATTACGTCACGATTGGTTGAAGGCCAAACGTAGAACTCACTTGAAAACAAGGTTCTATTTGGAAAACAAATAGAAGTGAACAAATGAAAAACTCACTCTGGGTCTCCCAAAACCATCTCCATTAATTTTCGGGGCCTATCATTCTTCAAAATGGTTTTTGGGTCTTTATCATGCACTACCTGACCCATTATGTCTAGAGCATAGGAGTACATTAGTGCATTTTACTTAAGCATGTAATGTTTTATATATTAGGGTTATCACATATCATAAATTGGTAATTACCGATTCCATATTTCTCATCAATGGTGTCCTGGGCTTGCAATGAAGCAAAAGACACCAGTGAGTAAGTTCTTATGGGGAATGGAACCCCCTTGATCTCAAAGGCAGCACTTTTGTTAAAAAAACGAAGCCTATAGGCACTTGTTGAGGTTTTAAAGAACATGTAGTTCTCTTCCACCATAAAGTTTTTCACTGCAAACAAACGTCCCTCCTTGAAGATACCAATGAACTTTCTAACGAACTGGTCCGGAATATGAGCATGCATCCTATACCCCTGAAATATATGAAAATGTCAATACAGATTTTATTAAAATGGTAAAGCAAAGAAACATTATAATGATTTTCAGAATTCCAAACCTCTTCATCATGGAACACAACCTCCAAGGATTCTGGAAAACAATCATGAGCAGGTTCACGATACACCCTTATTGCCCTAGCCTTGACTGCCCATGTGGTTTTCGTCTGATCAATCTCACGAAACAGGGACCACATTCCAACCATCTTTAAGAATGAATTCTTGTATGTATTGTTTATATTGTTTGCTAAGAGATGTGGAGAAATGAGAAAAATTGTTGCTGTATTTATAGCTGGAGGAATGGGGGGAACACTGTTTGACTTAATTTGAATTTCAAAATTGCAATGGAAGCATCCCGCCCAAAGTCTTCCACTTGTGCCAATACAGACACTGTTAATAACCCAAAAAGCAGCCAATAAAAATGTAAACAGCTGTGTGAGAAATCCAAAAGAGATTTGTGCCAGCACATTACCCCAAATTGACCAATGAAAAATCATTTTTGGGCCATCAGAAGATCTGTAAGATATCCAAACAGTGACTCAACTCCCTATAACCACACATCCCACACATCGCCAGCTCATACTCCACTGTGAGACAAATTAAAATTAATATTTAAAATTTATATAGTTTTGAAAATCTGTAGCAAATCCAACGAATCTGGATAACCATGCTGAAACCTTCATTTTCAAACCTAACCAACCTCACCCTTAATGAGTAATTAACCACAAAGAATGATAGCGACCTTTTTGAGCGGGAACTGTGGCCCTCTTTTATTTTCCTTTTAGATTAGAATAGATTTTATTTATTTATATATTAGTAAATCATATTGTGATAAATGTTGTCGAATTTGTTTCAATGTAAACATTGCAAATATAATTGTTTGGTAGTTCTTTTTAATAGTCAACTTTTGTGAAAGGAAATCACAAATATTACTTAAAATGAAGCAAAAGATGTAGATCAAGCTCAACCTGAAAAACCAGATCCTAACTAGACTCGAAGTCCGAAAATTGTTTCACTCCTTGAAAAATAGAGTATATCATTTCGCTAACCATACGACAACTTTTGAAAGCAGGCACCACATATGGGGCATGGTAAAAAAAGAAACGGATTACACCCCATGAGGGGCCCCTGACACCAGCTGTGCAGTTAAGTCGACAGATGCAAATTTGACTTCAATCATAAACTGATAGATAATAAGTGGAACTGAGGTTCAAGTACTTGCACAAGACCTATGCTTTTTTACACAGTTATATCTTATCACAGTTGTCAGGATTCGAACCCAGGACTTATTTATTGTATTTTGTGGCACCCACTATATATCTACTAGTTGAACTACCTTCACCGTCATCGAGAAGAAATTACATATTCCACACTAATAACCTTGTTGTCCGATGGCGTCACAGCTGATCTCCCAAAGAGGGGGTCGCAGGTTCGAGTCTCATCCCAATCAAGGATGTTGTCATTAACAAAGAGCAGATACTATAATAGGTTTAGACGAATGTTCCAAAAAAAACATATCAAAATGATGATTAATATTTTCTTAAGTGGTCATAAACAATATGATACAATTAGACTTGGCACAAATCCAAAAGACTAAAAGCCCTAATTCAATCGAAACTGGATTATAAGAGCTATAATGAATAACCATTAAAGAGGAGAGACATGTTACAATGAAAAATGTAGGAGAACTACCAAATAGGCTATCGAACTTACATAAAAAGTGCAGATCATCCCTTATATAGGAGGCTATGTCCGACCGTCACTATTTGGGACGGTTCCCGGTGGAATTTTTGATGAAATATTTTGAGCATCTTACTCATTAAGTCTAGTCTATTCATGCCAAATTTCAGCTAAAAATTCAACCAGGAAGGCAGTCAAGTGATGTTTAACTATGCAGTTATCTTCAAAAATTCATTTGACTGCCTTCCCGATTGAATTTTTAGCTGAAATTTGGTATGAGTAAACTACACTTAATGAACAAGATGCACAAAAAATCCACCGGAAACCGCCCCAAATGGCAACGGCCGGACAGAGCCTCCATAAGGGGTGATTTGCACTTTTTATGTAAATTCGAGGGCTTATTTGATAGTTCTCCCAAAAATGTATACCCTACGCACATAACTACAATGTATTACTTCTTATTGTTTTTATTTGGGGATCTCGGGCTATTTTATTATTGTTACGGAGTATTTCAGTTTACCAGCCTTATTCATTTAATTTCATTATTGACACGCCAAAGAAGTACTCCATCCGTCCCGTTAGAAGGTTCCCGTTGACGGTTTACGATGCGTGACTGACGATAAAGCAACTTAATCCCTGTTCACACTCTGATTATTTTTAGTAAATAAAAGTTTACATATTCAGAAACTACATTAAATCCGCTACAAATCCTGATAAAAAAATTGTAAATTTGATAAAAATTTGATATATAAAGTAAAAGATTAAAAATGATTTAAATTGACCATGTGAATAGTGGACGAGAACCTTCTAATGGGACATAGGTAGTAACATTTAATTTCATTATATGAATTGCGTAATTATAAAAATAAGTAATACTACCTCCGTCCCTTAAAACTTTGTCAAAGTTGACCAACACGGAGAATTATAAAGTAAAAACTGTGTGGTTGAAATTTGTGGAGAGGAGAGAGAAATAACAGAAACCACAAAATATTGATTAAAAGAGAAAGTGACAAAGTTTTTAGGGACGTCCCGAAAAGGAAAGATGACAAAATTTTAAAGAACGGAGGGAGTATAAACGTTATTTTTATATTTTTATTGTTAAATTCACTTAAGTAATGACAAAGGACCATTTTAGCTATTTTCATATAGTTTTTTCTTTATTTCATCAATAAAATATATTTTAAATAATTTTTTCCCCATAATTTAGCAAATTCATTCAATTAAGTCGCTTCAATCAAAATTTCACAAATTTCAAACGTATTCAGCATTTCAGCCAATATCAATATCACAAAATAGAGACTGTGTCGTATGTTAATTTTTCCTTGATCGCTTTAATGATTTTAAGTACTTGTGCATTTGGTGTGGCAGAGAGTTGTTTTTATTGGCTAGTATAGTAGTGAACTAGTGATGTTGGACTTGATTACATGCAAAAACCAAGTACAGGGGACATGTTTATTATGATCAAATAAGTGTCTTGGAACCGATTACAGTGGAAGGAGATGCACACACACTAAGATTCAAGGATTTCAAGCTAAGAGTTGATAAAAGTCTATGATTGATTAACATCCTAAGCTGGAAACTACAATTACAATTACCCATAGGGTCAGATTGAAGAGCAAACAATTGTTGCAGGCTGTCCTACAAAGTTGCTAGATACAAAAAAAGGATTGCAGACCTAAAGGGGAAGTACATGTATTCAGATGATCTTGGGAAATGCCATTTTGCCCTCATCTCTGACAGTATATAACAGAGGCCACCATCTTTAACATCCTCAAAAAATAAATAAAGGTACAAACAAGAAACTGATTGTGACCAAATCCCACATCCATCTTCCAACTTGTATACAACTGCTACTGTAAACATCTGCTTGTGTAGTTCCTACAACTATACTTATTGGTTTGCTTAGGCTGCACAAAGAATGTTGTTGAGATTACTGATCTCCATAGCCAGAACAAATTATGCAATTCACTAGAAATACTGAAACAAAATGTATCTAAACAGTCAATTCTATCTGCTCTATTGCTCTAAGATAAACTCCACTCCACTCAACTCTTAAAGATGTGGCCATAAACATGCTTATTGGTGAATATCCTACCATATTTAAAAGACAAAAACTTGCATGAGCATCACCTTTGGTGTAAACCATCCTATCTCAGCCACACAAAGTCACAAAGATAAGAGCACAATTGACTCTTTTCAAAGATGTTGAACTTGGGCCAATAATATATTTTGACAAAAAAAAACATAATGTGAAAAGAACTACAAAAATTGAATTTTTCACTAACATATACTCTAATGGATTAAAAATGAGATGGATTAGACTTTGAAAACTATCACTAATTCATGGCATAAAGTAAGCATAAACATACATTAAACAAAAACAAATTACTCCTTTCATTCCACATTACTTCCCCTGTTTTTTATTGTTCGGTCAATCCTGTGTTCTTATTATAACCGATTTTAAGTACCATCTCTTGTCCGATTCAAATCTACTTCCTGCGAAACGGCGGAACTTTTAGTGTATTTTCTAAATATGTAATTTTAATAACTAAGAATAACTTATGAGTTTAAAAGAGAACTAATTTATGCTAGGCAAACGTTGTAAACTGTTCTACACAAGCAATTTTGAAAAAAATGCAAAATTTCCAGCAATTACCTTGATGGGATCTTGCAATTACCAAAACCTGCAAGGCAAAATAGTGTGAATAAATGTGCCAAAAGCCCAAAACTACTTAAGAAATTGGTTTCGAAGATTACTACTTTGAAGTAAAGTTCACATTACTCACTAGGGTTTAGGGAGATAAGAGCAGCGGTGTTCTGGAAATCACAGCTGTCATTAGTCATGCCATTTTTAATGAAGTAATTGTTGAAGGCATAAGTCGCCGTCCGCTGGATGTCGGAGGCGTCGTAGCACGGCCCACCGGGCTGAATGGGCCCACAGTCTGCACCGCCTGCCCCACAGGCCCAGTCAATCGCTGATTGAATCGCAGCGTCCTCGGCGTTGTTCTTGGCCACGCACCAGAGCTCCACCCTCACTCCTCCGTCGCCAACGGAGGCGCTGCCCTCTTGGGCGGTGCAAAACGGAGAGAGTAAATACACGAGAACAGAGAAGTAGAAAACAGGGGACATCTTTTGGTGGGGATAAGGAGAGAGAATGAGAGAGGGCGTGTAAAATTACCGAACGCACGCTGAAATATTTGAACTCCTACAATTCTAGAACTGAATGAAATACGAAGTACTGCTGCCTGCTGGAGTGTAAATATTAAGAACCCCATAAATTTGTGAGGTTTAATTACTTCATGTGTCAAATTTGATACTTCCTCCCTCTCATATTTATCTTCATGAGTACAATTGACACAATATTTAATATAGTGAATATTGTATGATGAAAAGTTGTGCATATGAGAGAGAAATAGATAGTATGTAAGAACTTTTTTTTAAAGGAATATATAAGAAATGTTGTAAATCACAATTTTTTTTCCAAAACAGAAAGATGAGATAATTTTAGAACGAACCAAAAAGTATGGAGATAATTCTGAGAGATGAAGTATGTAATTCAGTACATCTCAATGTATCAAACCTCTTATGTTATACTATCCTACATTTTTTATCGCAACATGTTGAATTTTACACTATTCACAAGTTCTACTTTGACTACATTTTACGTTATTATTTTATGAGAATTATTTTTTAAAAAAAATATTGTACAATTCATCTCATTACAAATTTTCAAAATCTGATTTTTAATTTTTTTACTAATAGAGATTAAGATATAATTACGGTCAAAGACGTGTGTTGGCAAGTGTGAAATGTTGACCGTTGCAACTAAAAAAGAACGGAGGGAGTACATAGTAATTAATCATGTTTATGCCTAGTATGGTAAATGAACCAAATCGTGTCGAATAGTGTGATTTTGTATTTGTATTTGTTTTTTAATACGAATTCGGATTCGAATATGAAATGAATATCGTTTTTTATTTGTATTCACATTTGTTTAACAATACGAATAGTTAACGATCATGTACGAATATCGAAATTATGTTGCCAAGCGACCTAATCTTTTCAAATCATTTGGGCAGGGAAGAAGTAATTTGTTATTCATGGAGATAATGAGGGATGAACATCAAAGAGATAAGAGTCAAAGATGAATCTCTCATACAACAAACTTAAACGGGCTAACACAGCATGTAAATAAAAGTTATGACCATCAATCCCAATAACAAGACTCAGGCCTCCATCAATAGAGCTTATGCATAACAAGGGGAGCACCATGCTTTGGCTGAGTAGTCGCCTGTGAATATGGAGCATGAGCATAAGAAGGAGAGAGTTCAAAGGAAAAGCGTTGTAGAATCATTGCCATTGTCATTTTAGCTTCTACCAAAGCGAAGTTTTGGCCAATGCATATACGAGGCCCTCCACCAAATGGAAAGAAGGCGTGTTTTCCCTTTGTCGCCTTCATTATACCATCAATGAACCTATCTGGATTGAACTCCTTAGCTTCTACACCCCATATATCAGTATCAAGATGTAGCAAAAGTATGGGTAATGACACCATCACCCCTGGAGGCAAAGTCATATCTCCGAGTTTAACCTCCTCGGTCGTCATTCTATTAATGTTAGCTACTGGCGGGTATAGTCTCAAAGACTCGTATAAAATCATCGTCACCTGAAACAAAGAGTATTAGCTACCATCAACATTGCAATAACATTTAGAATATATTGTATTGGAAATAACTACTTACAACTTTGAGGTCATTTAATCCTTCAAAATGTGGCTTCTTATCCCGACCAAAAACTTGCAGCACCTCTTCTCTAGCTTGAGCTTGCCAATCTTGAAATTTGCTGAGTAAAACCATAGTCCAAACGAGTAACACAGAGGTAGTCTCTTGCCCTGCAAAATAGAACAACTTGCACTCCTCAATGACTTCTTCAATGCTCATCCCAACCCCCTTGTTCCCATGCTTCTCGATTTCGTGCATGTTAGATTGAAGTAATATGCCTAGTAGATCATCATTGCTTCTCTCCCCTGCCTGCATAGCCTTCAACCTTTTCTCTATAATGGTATGAACAGATGACTTCACTTCCTTCTCAATGTCATGCATTCTCCTATTCCTCTTTGTTGGCACAAATCTACAGTCAAATAAACTTGCAAGTTCACTAAGTGAAGAAACACATACTCTGTACTATATTATTTTCTCATGATATCCATAATGTAGATAGAGTTTGCTATTTAATCTCATATCACCTCCATCCAGGTACATAAACTTCGTTGAAAGCTTCCATGACGAGCATGGTTTGTTCTGTTTGGAGCTCGAATATCCTCCTTCCATCTTCGTAGCTGCTCCCGAATGCTGTTCGAGAAATGACATCGCTTGTCATGGTTTGAAGGTCTGGCCACACGTCCACCTCGCAATCCTCTTCTCGTCAGGCTCTCTCTTCCCATTTACTCACCATATCATCACAACTTATCATGAATGCTGGTTCCATTAACTGTAATGGATGCAATGATAATTATATGAAAAAAGTTGAAAATATCAAACATACCAATTAAGTGGATTATATTGTGCGAGAATTATGTTGTTAAGTTGTTAAGTTTTACAGAGAGGTACGTAGCTCACTAACCTTTAGCTTCTCAGTATAGAAAACTGGATTGAGTAACCTTCTATGCTTTTTCCACTGATCATTCTCGTAAACAAGTACTCCCTGAACCAACTTATTTAATAGTGGGTTGGAGTGAGGCTTCTGATAGAGATAGTTTTTATTCAAAACCTCTTTTATAGAATCGGGATGCATGATGAAAACCATTGGAGTTGGACCCATCCATAAATAGCAATTTTTGCCTGCTTGGATGCATGCAATTCAATTATGAGGAAATTACTTGAAAGAGAGGTAAAATATACGTAGTGGTTCATTTGGCGAAATAGGAATACTATCATTCGTTTCTTCCCAAAGCAAAACAAGACCTATCACTAGTTTCTTGACTTTCTTGTTGACATAGATTCTATGATACCAAAAGGTACCATACATTTGTCAACCAATCAAAATGTTGCAGTTGAATTATTTTAATCTAAATTAAAAATGATTTGGACAAATCATGTGAGTTGTAGGTACGGTACCCATTTTTTAAATGAGTACCGGAGTTGTCACCACTTCCCAAAGTAAAACAAGATTTTTTCACTCAAATTATACAAAAGGTTTTTAATGCTATACTCATTTAATTTAAATAAGACTAAACATGGGATTAATTAACAAACAAAAAGAAGAAGATTAATTTCTTTGATCAATAGGAGCAAAACAATAACAAAGTGTATAAATAGAAGTAAATGTTTAAAATCTCTATACAAGTAAAACGTTTCCGGCGGAAAAGTTAAAAAGCCGTTGGCAGTCAGGACCGGTCATCAGGCCTCGCCACCGCCTGTCAAGCGACCTCCCCTGCCGCCACGACCGACTCCCCGACAGGAACCACAAAACACTCGGTGGTACGGTGGTACTATACACTCACAAGTCACTATCGTAAACGTCTGGTCTCTATGCATTTTATAACTACGAAAGTATGGTCTGGTCATATCTGGTCTGGGACTAAAAATAGTCCAAAAGAAAACATCCTTACTCGAGTTTGAGTTAATTTCCTTAAAAACGAATGAAAAGAATCCGTATAGTACCATATTTGTTGATGATTTGAAGGAAATGTGGAAGGAGTCTAGGAGCAATGTCATCGTCAGAGGGACTCATGGGCTGGGAGTTTGCGGCATCACTTATCATTCTGCAACTTTTTTTCATGTCTCCATGGAGGATTCCGTAGGGGTTACCCTTCAGGCCCTGCTGCTTAAGGCACCTCTCCAGCCTCCTGGGCTTAAGCCACACCCAATCCAACAGTCCCCAAACCAAGAAACCCACCGGAATACTGGCTACTGCTAGAATACTGTAAAATATCATAATGAACGAAGGCTCCATTATCTTAGTTATACTCGATGGCTATTGATTTGGGCATTTGCTTATTTTATACTAATAGTATCGGCAGAGAGTTATCATCACGTCAGGGATGATGCATGCATGGTATCCGGAACCAGGGCTGGCCCCGTGCAGAATTAAATATGAGGCCTTAAAATATAAAATACTATATTAATATTTTCACTGTTTTTAAATAATAGTTTCCTTAGGTTTTTTTTGTGTGTTTTAAGAAGAAAATAGTAAGTGTAATATAGATGTGTAAGGTAAATGAAAAAGTAGAAAAGATAATATATTAAAAACGTAAAGTAATGACAAATTATGAAAAAGAAAATAGTTACATGTTCGTTCCAAACTATACGAGGGCTTTGCGATAATTAATGTAACTAGCTAGGCCTTGTGAAATAAAGAAATTACACAATTGTAATTAACAAATGCATTTTAATTACATATACATATTACTTCCTCCGTCCCTGAAAGAAGTTCCTCATTTGACTTTCACACACTTTTATGCAAGTAAACTTACCAGGGGGTAAATTTTACTGTTTTAACACTGTTTGGACACTATTTGACACTATTTTACACTGTTTGGCACTGTTTTGATGTAGATAACTTTCCATTTAAGAAAATGTGAACTTAAATTAGTGACATCCAAATAAGAAAAGTAAGAACTTCTTTTCGGGGACGGAGGGAGTACTATTTAATGTTTGTATTTTGAAAGGAACTAAGATAGGAATTTTTAATCAAATAAATATAGATATATTATATTATATAGACTATATTTAAAATTTTGGGTCGAGAGGGCGCGGTAGCATTCTTACACCCTCATCTAAGGCTCTGTCCGGAACTGAGTCACATTAAAATGATGGGAGTTCCCACTAAAATAATGTGTGGTGGGGATGACGTCACAATAGCCCATGTGACTGCATAAGAGAGTCACATATGGCTCCATAAAATTTTTGATCCGGAACTAATCACTCATACACAATGTAAAACTGTATCTTGTCACATGTGGGGTTCGCTTCTAGAGATATATGATTGACGATTCCAACGTCAGGGATGACGATATAGAAAGAGATAAACATGTGGGACTCCCTAGCTGCATTACGTCAATTATTATAATTTTAATTTCAAAGAAATAATGGAAGGCAACCGGCCACCGTTTGTGTGCATCTTTATTTTATACTTTACCTGTTCTATTTTAGTTGCAACATTTATTTTTCACGTTTGTCAACGCACTACTTTAACCATCATTATATTTAATTTTGTATTTTAAAAATTAATTAAAAATCAGATTATGGAACTTTATAATGAGATGAATTCAACAACATTATTAAAAAAAATCACACATTAATACATAAGATGTGGTCAAAGTAGAGTACATGAATAGTGTATAAATTACAATGTTGCAACTAATGCGATACGGATGATAGTACATTATTGCTAGTTTTCAATACAGTTTTAAGACGAAAAGATAATAATTAATGACGAAACGATAATTATTGATAGTACTACTTATATCCTCTTCAAGTTTTCATGACGAAACGATACGGTTATTTAGACAATAATTAAATAAGGTAGTTCGAGTATGTTTTGAGAAATATGTTTTAATAGGTACTCCCTCTGTCCCTAAATTTACTTCCATTTCGCTTTTCGAGAGTCAACTTAAATCACTCTTAAACTCTTACTTTTTGTATCAAAACTTTATGAAAATTGATTTTTTTTGTGCAGGCTTTGTAGCGGGTTTAATGTAGTTTCTGAATATGTAAATTTTATTTACTAAAAATAATCCGAGTTTTCACAGGGATCATTTAACTTTATCGTCGGTCAACCTTCGTAATCCGCAATCGGAAGAACATTCAGGGACGGAGGGAGTATATAATATAATGGAGCTAGTGTTTTTTTTTTAATAGAGCTAGTGTTAATAACTGTGATGTTATAAATGTATTATTTTTAATATTTAGTGATTAATTTGTCATTTAAGATTGTTAATTGTTTTTTAAAATGAAAATGAGAACCTTTATATGAGATGTCCAAAAAAGAAAGTGAGAATCTTTCTATGAGGCAGAGGGATTAGTACATTTTTCTAAAGAGTTCATTCTTTTCACTTGTGTTCAGGGGCGGATCTAGGATTTCACGTTGGGGTGGGCTGAAAAACTTAATTGATAATACATTGAATTTTTTTCAAAATAAGCAAAAACTCAAATATAAACTTGTCAACAATAGAGTCTACATCTATCTTGAGGGTAATTTCTTTTTAATATAAACTCGTCAACAATAGAGTCTACATTTATACTGAGAGTAAGAAAGTAATCATCCATTTTGTTGCAGAGTGTTGTCTTTTGATGTTTCACGGCAGAAAATGATATTCTACGGTTGCAGTAGAAACAATAAGATGATCATTAAATGAGTCTGTAACTCCATAAAAAAGTCTTATTGAAATCGTCAAAGTGATAATGATGATCAACTATAGTTTATTTTTGGCAACGACCAACCATATATTTAGAAATTAGAATTCAAGTCCGGTGCATGAATTTATTTTTTTTTGAGCAAAACTCATTTACTTCTTCAAGAAAACCTTCACATCCATTTCCGGTCAATTCCTAAAGAATGAGTTGTGAAGTAGAAAGATGTCTCATGGCTACCAAGATATCCAATGATTTTTTGAAGGCCTTGAGAGAGAACATTCGTTATTTCCATAACTTTGTGCATCAAAAGTGAATTGAACACAAATTCAAAACATGGAAAATGTCTATACACACTACGAACTTCTGCCCAAGACCTCACTTTTGTGCAATTAATGTTCTTGAAGATCCTCAAACACTTTACAAGTTGATGTGAACATGCTAATCAAGTTGTTATATTATATACCAAGTGCCATTTATTAAGTTGGAAGTGATGTGTATAACATTTTGATTAGATTTTTAGATGATAAGAATTTGATTTATGGGTTGGGCTGAAAAATTTGATTGGGCTATAGAAATATCTGGGGTGGGCTGGATGGAATTTTATCAAAATAATACCTTAAAAATATTAATTTTTTTTACTTCCACCATAGCCCTAACATAGATCCTCCCCTGCTTGTGTTCATTCTTTTAATTTCACTTGTATATGTTTTGTAAGCTTACTGTTAATTATTGGTAACCTCATTGCCTTGAATTTTGAAATTATATGGGGACTTCATGCCTGTCGATAAACTAAAATGGACTTAACAGGTGCTTGAGGTCTTGTTAAATCAGGCATAAACCCAACAAGGATTAAGGTTTTGTTATGTCAATTTTTTCCTGGTCTGCCATAATACTTGTATAGCAAACACTAGTTTTGACATCTTTTTAAAACTTGTATAATAGAGTACGTTCAGACTTTAGTAAAACTAGTAATACATAATTCTCTAATAAACAGTTTAGTTTATAAAAATGAAGTTATATTAACGAATCACTTCACTAATGTGTTAACTTACAAAACTAGTTAATAACTACGTAGTATATATTAACTAATAGTATCTTTTACTTCATGATATTTTTCATTTATTAGGTTCCAGAATTCCAGAGGTGCAAGGGAGTGTGAATGGATTCAACATAAACACAGAGATGCAGGGGCATTTTTCTGTAGCAAGACAAAACGAAACGTTGCCCACTTGGTACCGTAAAGTTCATGTTTTCTAAATTGCCAACTTGGATCATTATATTTTGTAATACCATCAATAACTGTACTTTTTGTTGTTAGGAATCCCTGCTTGTAATACTATCACTTAGATTTGCCCCTCACAAATGTTCATGTGAATGGATTCGAATCCCTGCTCTTAGTGCATCTTCTCCAAGCTTAAGCTTCTGTGGCCAGCTTCATTTAAATAATATTGTATTTTGGTATTACCTGTGGTTAAGTTCATTGTATATCTCTTACCAAATTTTGGACCTGTGGATTGACATTTTGACAAAGTTCTGAATATGCTTTCCTTTTTAATGAAATGAAAAGTTACTTCAAAATTATGAAGTTCTGGTGTTTCTTTTCTTTTTTCTTTTTCCTTTATGAACTAAAAAAGTCCCAAAACTATTTAGAGTGAACTAAAGTACTACTCCTTACATACTAACATAGCTACCCATGATAAGGTACGGACCTCCACAGTCCACATTATGTGAACCTGCAAGAATCACTCAAAAGAATATTTTTAGCAAGCTCTAATATAATAACTTTTGGCATGTGGTATATACAATAGAATGAAGTTTAAGGCCTTATTACTAGGTTGTCCATGCTTCTGTCCAAACTTTTGGCTTATATGCCCTATTCAAGGAAAACACATTGTAGGGGGAATTAGAAAATCAATAACAAAATCACACTAGAATTCATAGACAAAAATTCCTAGCATTGAAAGGTTCATTCTCAGTTCTAAAACTTATCCCTAGAACATACTTCAGCCAAACTGGAAATCAAATGAGGTCAAGCCAATAAGATTGTTCATCACTTAGAGACTACACATACTCCAGAGCAGGAATGCAGAATATATACTTAATTCTCTGTCACAAATATGCTGAGTATAAGTGAACAATAATATACTGAAGGTAAGAAATGAAGAAATATAAATACTTTTCCAGGTTGAGGTGCATGCCCATTCCAGAAATCCAAGCCTGCTTATTTTGTTTTGTAGTGCTTCTGTGGCGCTAGGATCATTATCTCGAGGTTAGGAATCGTCTTTGTGTTTTATATTTAGCTTTTACGCCCAAACTTTTCTCCAAATTGCCTATCCCGTTTTTTCTTTGAATTTATTTATTTTAGAGACAATCCTTTATCTAGTTTGCTTAGATTCAGGTTTGCACTAACCACTTTCCCATTTATACTTCAGTTTAGTTAGGTTTGCACCAACTGTTTTGATTATACTATAATACATTGTCTCATTGCTCAAGTTTTATTTAATTTGGATTTTTATGACGCTGAAGCAGGTGAAAGCTCATGAGAGTGTTGTTTTAATTTGGTCTCATGTTCGTGTGGTAAATTTTTCTCTTTGCTCTTGCTGAATTACTCTCCTTAGAATGTGTGGGAGACTTCTT